AAAACAGACAAATGGCCAACAGACACAGAAAAAAAAAATTCTCATTGTCTCTAATCTTTAGAGAAATGCAAATGAAAACCACCCTGAGATATCACCTAAGCCCAGTGAGAATGGCCTACATCATAAATTCCCAAAGCTGCAGATACTGGTGTGGAAGTTGAGAGAAGGGAACACTTTTACACTACTGGTAGAATTGCAAAATAATACAGGTTCTATGGAAAGAAGTATGGAGAATCCTTAAAAAACTAGAAGTAAACCTTCCATTTGATCCCACAATCCCATTACTAGGTATCTACCCAGAAGAACAAAAATCATTTTACCATAAATATATTTTCATTAGAGTGTTCTTCAGAGTTCAGTTCATAATCACTAAGTTGTGGAATCAATACAACTGCCCATCAACATATAAATGGATTAAAAAGCTGTCGTATATGTATACTATGGAATAATATTCAGGTGTTAAAAAATATTTGTTATTTTAAATTCCCAACTTGATCACTTCTAAATCTTGTTCTGTTGCTTCTTTGTGGCATATTTAATTTTTAGTTGTAAGACACATTGCATAGAGCAGTAGAGTACAAAGTAGACTTTACAGCTAGAAATGAGCGTACCTTGTGTCTTGATAAACCTTTAGTGTGGGGATTTTAGTTATTCTAGTCAGGAGTTGATCTGGATTTGGGTTTTATATTGCTAAATTCCTTCCAAACATTTTAGCATTACTTTCTGTTGAGATCCATTTCATTAAGGGGATTTTCTCTTTGAACCTGTTCTCAGAGTCTTCCATTTGTCTCTCCCAGAATTAGAGTAGGCCAGGCATGTGTCCCTTATTGTCCGGGATCACTCTGAGTCTCAGGCGGGTACTAAGGGCCAGGATCTCAGGGATGAGGCTTGTCAGTAATCCTATACTTCTCCTAGTGGCAAGGAATCTGTAATGGTGGGGGCCTTAGTAACTCCCCCAAAGTAGAAGATGTTGTTGCTGTTCTCTTCTTCCTTCTATGAGTTTTCACCTCTGATTGAAGGCCCCACAGAATGTGGTGCCCTTCTTCAGGGATTAAAGGTTTTCTTCAGCATAGGAGATAGTGGGGCAGAACCAGTGCAGAGGTTTCTGGCTTTCTTATGGTGGTTGCCACGCCTTTTCCCAGGCCTGCACCACAAGGGAGACTTTCTCAGTCTTCCTTCTTCACCTTCATTTGTAAAATCCTGGAAAGATCTATTGATAAGAGCCTAAAAATAAATGATGATACTTTTGAGTATTGATTTTGGATGTCTTATAATTTCGTCCTTTCATGTACACATCCTTTGGTAAATATTTTGGTTGAATTCTTCTTGTTTGCTTGTACAGTGTTCTGGTCCAGGTAAGCAAATGCTGTGTCTCCACTCTTCTAGCAGCACATGTTTTCCTTTAGACTTCAGTTTAGTTTCTTACCTTGAGATCTCAGGTTGATTGCTTGGAAACCAGCTATCCATTGGGTTAAAGAAAAATAGAAAATTTTCAAATTATTATTTTTTAAATTTTTGTTATAAGAGTGAGAGCCACACTCACCAGTTTTCCCCATTCTGAAAAGTAACTAGAAGTACCTCAAAATACATTTTTATTACTTTCCTTTAAATAGTAATTTGTCTTTAAAAGATTTTAACAAGCAAGGCCAAAGTAGTGATTTTTGTTTACCTACATGTTTGCAATTTTTGTGCTCTTTGTTCTTTTGATATCTCTAAATTTTTTAAAAATTTTATATCATTTTACTTCTGATTGAAGAATTTTCTTTAACATTCCCTGAAATGTAAAGCTTCTGGTGACATTTTTTTAGCCTTCATTTTTTAAAAATGTATTTTACTTTCAGTTTTAAAGGATACTTTTTCAGAGTATAGAATTCTAGTTTTTGTTTTTTTGTTTTTTTTCTCTTTTCCAGCATTTTAAAGATATTGGATCATCATCTTCTGGTGTGCATTGATTTTAGTGGAAATCAATGGTAATATGTATCATTGTTCATCAATATAACATATATTTTTTTCTCTAATTCATCTCAGGATGTCCTAGTGGCATTTAGAATAGAAATATCTGAAGCTTTCCAGATGTAAATGAGTGTCATAGAGAGACAGGTTTGTGTCTTTTGCAGAGGGAAGCTTCTGCAATGATGCCGAGGAAAGAAGCAGCTTGGTCATTAAAAGAAAATGAAGGAAAGTAGAGCTGGGTGTTCAACTTGTCCCTATGTGCTCAGGACTTTTCCAGTTTCGGCTCTAAAAACCGGCATTCAGAGACAGTTTGTCCAGCCCTATCTGTTTTCAAACTGAAAGTCCTGCATCTTGGGGAATTTCTCAGTCCCACACAAACCAGAATGGTTAGTTGTCCCACATCAGCTTATCTCTTTATTACAGTTTATACATCCCTTCCTCTCTAATCCATTGGCTACCAGCTTAATTCAGATCCTAGGCATTTTTATTTGGTTTGCAGTAATGAGCTGCTAAGTAGCTTTCATGCTGTTATCATTGGTCCCTATACATTGGCCAATTTTAGCAATCATTTTTAAGTATGCACAGCTTCTAAACTATATTTCTTGAAACTAGTTCTGTACCAGATTTGCCTTGAGACCAAAGCTCTCTCTCTGCTAGAACATTGGTGCCTATATGTTTGTTCTAATAGCTTAAGAGACCATGCCTAGGCTGTAGGTAACAATCTGATTATATAAAAGGCTGTGTTTTCAGATCCAATGTGCGTCAACTTCCAGTGTCAAACAGACTCCAAGGAACTTGGTGTTTTCTTTAGGGCAGTGGTTTTCAACCTTCCTAATGCTGTAGCCTTTTAATACAGTTCCTGTGGGTTGAAAACCACTGCTCTAGAGACTTGACAGTTTTTGCTGATTTCTAGCACTCATGTGGATGAGTAACTGCTGTGCTCTTTTTATGTCCAGGGGATTTAGAATGATCCTGGTTTCTCAGGTTGCTGCTTTAGGAACAAAAGTGAACTGTTCTAAGAAAAGAATGCTCATTAAAAAAGTACATACTGAATATGGTCTTTGGATGCAAAGAAAGTAAAAATAGTTAAGAAAGTGGAATGAATCTTGAATTAGTTTTTAGCTTTGTGGCTATTGAGAAGTTAGGGTACATTCCATTCTTTCATGGTTTGTGGTTACAGATAAGCCAAGTATTTTGGTCCTCTGATTTCTTGGATGGAAAGTTCTGGATATTTTTAAGTAAACCAGTTTTACGGAAATCCGAGAATTTTTCTATAGAAATTGGGACAATACAACTTACCTCAAAAAAAATCTTAAAATAAATAATGACAGTGGGATATACCAACTCATCAGCAGCACTTAAGGGAAGATTTCAATTCTTTCTGATATTGTCTATTTCCACTTAATGTCATCATTGCCAAAAACTTTTATAAAATAATCAAATCACTTAGCCATTTCAAAATTACATTGGGAATAGAATTTGGCAAATAAATTAACTTGAGGTCAGAAAAGCACAAACTTTGTAGATGAATTCATGGCCAAAAGATTGTTTGGTAAAATGGTTCTGAAATTATATGTTTCTTTGGTGGTGGATACCTTTTTTCAAATAAACTCTCATACAGATATGTACTATACAAAAGAAGAAAAGCAGCACTCCCGTGGATAAAGTATGGGAGCACAACTGCTCACCATTTCCCCTCCCCCAGCATTTACAGTTCTGTGAATAAAAGAGATGTATTAGAATTTATAATCAGATCGTACCAACTTTGCACAAAATTGTAATGTAACATACAAAAAATAACGTGTAAGAAATTGTTTCCCAAGTTATATTCCTGAAAAAAACACAGTGGAAATACACAGTTTTCCTATCAGCTTGAAATTGGATCTATTATGCATTATCATATTTCAAAAAGCTGAAAGGAAGTTTCCAAAAAGCCCATATTTCCATAAAGCCCAAATTTAAATATTTTTAAATTCTTGTATTAAAAACAACATTTGAATTATGCATAAAATACCTATTTGAAAAGGTGAACTGTTATATCTTTTAGATTTACCTTTTGTAATTAGAAAATGTTAGAGATTTTAATTCACAGATATAAAGGTTATTTTTATTTATTTATTTTTTTGCAGCTTTTGGCAGAGGCTGGATTTGAACCTGCCACCTCCGGCATATGGGCATATGGGGTCAGCGCCCCACTCCTCTGAGCCACAGGCACTGCCCCAGCACGTGTTTCCTTATCTTCCCAAAGAGAATAATTTCCCTTAATAACCTTAGCTATGAAATCAGACTAGCTTAATTTGCAGAAAACAATTACCACAAGTATGCAAATAAAAGCTTTATAACTTGGGAATCCAACACCAAACAACCTTCCAAAGGACTCATTCCTTCTTTCCTGCCCTCCCTTCCTTCCTCCTTCCTTCTTACACATGAAGAAACCAAATTTCAGAGATTAAGCAACCAAGTCACGAAGCTAGTAAGTGGCAAAGCCAAAATCTGAACCAAAATCTGGTTCCAGGGTCCAAGGTGTCAGAAAGTCTTTCCCGGGAAGTGCGGGGCGGGAAGGAGCGTGGGAAAGTTTCTCATCCTCCCAGCACCCCCGCCCGGCCCCGCAGAGATCCTCAGAGCCTGGAGGAGAGAGAAGCGACTACTGCACCTGCCCCCTCCGTGCCACCGCAAGGTGGGGGCGCAAGGAGCTGCAAGACTACGAGGACCAACAGCCCGAGCACTTTTAACTGGCCTAGCGACTCCGGGCCACACCTCTGCAGTCCAAGCGTCTGAGGGCTAAAGGGCTCAGCCTGCATCGCCCTGCATCGGCTCCAGCAGCGCTCTGGAAAAGTAAAGGCAGCAGCCGGAAGGCGACATTCCGCAGAGGCGCTGGGGTAGCTACAGGGACAAGCAGAGAGGGGGCCGCCAGGTCGGGACCTCCGAGAAAGGGACACTCAGCCCCCTCTTCTTCCACTACGGTCCCCGAGCCCTCCGTGGGAGTGCACGCGGAGCTCCCTGCCGGTCCCCTCCTCCCCAGCCGGCCCCCCAGCGCCCGAACTCACCCCTCGGAAGCCCCTAGGCTGCGTAGCCCCAGACGCGTCCCTAGGTGCCAAGCGCAGCGGCTGGGGGCGGGGCCTCCATCGACGTCCTAATTGGCCAGATGCGGGGCGGGGCCGGGGTGCCCGAAGGAGCGTTACTGAGCGGCAGTTTTCAACATGGGGGCGGGACTAACAGCTCGACTCAGCAGTCTATTGGTCAATTTCTGAGACCGGGGCAGGAAGTCAGCATCTTCGGAATGGACGGGCCCCGGAAGGGGATCTCCGATTGGTCAGGCCTGGGACAAGGCTGCGCCGCATTCAGCTAAGGGAGGCGTGGGTATCTGGGCTGTGTCTTCAGTTGGAAACTGTGGTGGCTGCTGCTGCTGCTGCACCGGCGGGGCAGGTGGCGGTGGGAGACCCATTTCTTCATACTTTAATTGAAATTTTCTTTTTTTTGAGACAGAGTCTCACTGTGTCGCCCTTAGTAGAGTGCTGTCGTGTCACAGCTCACAGCAACCTCAAACCCTTAGTCCTAAGCGATTCTCTTGCTTCAGCCTCCCAAATAGCTGGGATTACAGGCGCCCTCCACAACGCCCGGCTATTATAGAGACGAGGTCTCGCTCTGGCTTAGGCTGGTCTGCAACCTGTAAGCTAAGGAAATTCACCCTCCACGGCCTCCCGGAGTGCTAGGATTACAGGATCGAGCCACCGCACCCGCCCTTTCATTGAATTTTTTATAGAGTGCCTACGTAGTGTCGGGAGGCATTGTATTACGCAGTAGAAGGCAGAGAGGAATTGAGAGGGTCCCTGCCGGGAGAAAGGGGGGAGAGGAGCAGTAGGTAAGGTGATATATTAATATAGATACCTGTAATGCGGTCTACACCATTGGAGATTTTATGTTGAATGCCTACGAGGTTATGTGCCAAATTTGGGGGCCATCTATTTTTCCTATGCCAAAGCATTCTAGTCTCATAAATATGATTTAAGATTAGTATTATTGTCCCGTTTTATAGAAAAATCCATGAGGCTATAAGAGATGAAGTGACTTGCCAGAACATTTCAAAATCAATGTAATTCATCATATTAACAAAAAGGAGAACCATCTCCATAGATGCAGGAAAGTCCACCAAGAAATGTCCCTTTTTCTTAGTTGGAAAGGAGAGGTGCCATGGTTTGTCTTCTACTTTGGAGAGATGTTCTAGCATTTGACAAAATCCAACATTTCATTTCTGATTTTTATTTTTATTATTATTAATTTTTTTGAGACAGTCTCATTCCGTTGCCCTCAGTAGAGTGCTGTAGCATCACAGCTCACAGCAACTTCCAACTCTTGGGCTTAAGCGATTCTCTTGCCTCAGCCTCCTGAGTAGCTGGGACTACAGGCACCCACCACAACACCCAGCTACTTTTTGTTGCAGTTGCCACTGCAGTTTTAGCTGGCTGGGGCTGGGTTTGAACCCGCCATCCCCTGTATATGGGGCTGGCGCCCTACCTGCTGAGCCACAGGCGCCACCCCATTTCTGATTTTTAAAAAACGTCTAACTAGGAATGGAAAGGAACTTCCTCATCCTAATAAAAGGCATCTGTGAATTATAGCTAACAGCGCATTTCATAATAAAAGACTGCTTTCCCCCTAAATTCAGGAACAAACAAGGATATCTGCTCTTGCCACTTCTACCTTACACTAGCGTTCTAGCCAGTCCCATAAGGAATAACAATGAAAAAAAGCCTCTAGATTGGAAAGGAGTAACATTGTTTTTATTCACACACAACATGATAATAGAAAATCCCATGGAATCTACAAAAAAGCTGCTAGAATTGTTAATGAGTTTTGTAAGATCGCAGGATGCAAGATCAATATACAAAAATCAATTGTATTCTATGTGTTACCAATAAATATTCATAACTTGACATTTTTTTCGAACCTGAAAATTTTTAAAATACCATTTATAAAAGCATCAAGAAATACAAAAACAAAACTCTTAGAGATAAATATGACAAAATATATACAAGACCTACACCTTAAAAATTGTAAAACAATTTTGGGAGAAATTAAAGAAGATTTACATTTAAAAAAGATATACTGTGTTCATGGGTTAAAAGACACAATATTCTTAAGATGTCAATTTTTTCAAATTGACCTATAGACTTAATGCAATTCCAGTCAAAATCCCAGTAAGTTTTTCATGTAGAAATGGACAGTTTCTAAAACTCAAATGGGAACGAAAAAGACCTAGATAGCTAAAACAATTTTGAAAACAAAAAATAAAATCAGATGACCTATGTTACCTGCTTGAAGGTTTATTCTAAACTAAAGCACAGTAATCAAGAAAGTATAATATTGGCATTAAGTTAGACAAATAGATCAATGGAACAGAATATAAAGTCCAGATAGGGCTCAGCACCTGTGGCTCAAGTGGCTAAGGCGCCAGCCACATACACCTGAGCTGGCGGGTTCAAATCCAGCCCAGGCCTGCCAAACAACAATAATGGCTGCAACCAAAAAATAGTCGGGCATTGTGGCAGGTGCCTATAGTCCCAGCTACTTGGGAGGCTGAGGCAGGAGAACGCTTGAGCCCCATAGTTTGAGGTTGCTGTGAGCTGTGACACCACAGCACTCAACCCCAGCGCAACTGAGACTCTGTCTCAA